TGCGCGGAGGGGATTGATGGTCCCGCGTCCGTCTCGGATTTCTCCGAAATGGCGGGAGACAGCGGGGCAATGGATTTTGAGACCGGAGTAGTACTTTTACGTACAGACTCTGTCTCAATAATCAGGTTTTGTGGGTTTGGGGGTTGGTGAAATCAATTAAATTAGCCAAGAGTTGAGACTCGACAAAGTCTGAGAGTTAGGCCCAAAAAATTGGATTACTCTGAATGATATATATTTTGACCGTTAAATATTAACGAAACAGGAACGGAATTCTTGCGTTTGCTGAAAACTGTGTAATGTGTCTTATTAGTTGAAAAGATGAAGCCTGTTTTGGAAGACCATTCTTCGATTTTGTATATGAGGTTCTGTAGTATTTTAGCTCCAGATGTAATATTTTTGCATTTAATATACACAACTAAATCATCAGCGTATAAGTTTGCTTTTATAGGAAGCTTAATTGTATTTATTACATCGTTAAATGCAATTAAAAATAAAGTTGGGCTTAAAATAGAACCTTGTGGAACACCGTTGTCGAGTATTCTAGTGGTATCCATTTACTGTTACTTGTATTTCCCTTTTATTCAGAAAGTTTTTTATAAACGCAAGTTCCCCATTTATCAAGTTTATTTATCTGTAATTTAAAATCTTCTCGAGAATTTACACATGCTACAGGTGAGGGAAATAGGGCGGTAAGATGTAGGACAATCTTTTGGATTGGGTTGTTTATAAATTGTGATTATAATAGTGTTGGCCCAATTATCAGGAAATAGGGAATTTTGACTTCAGAAGGAGTTTTATTGGTGGTTTAAGTTAGCTACATATTGGTTTGGTTATTTGAATTAGGATTTTCAGGTACTTCTGTTTCCGTTTGTTCACTGGGCGAATCCGTTTTTTGAATGCAGTCAACTTCTCGGTGTCCTATTGTTCGAAATTTAGAACAATTAAATTCGTCTATAGAAAGGTATATTAGATATGTTGTGGAATCAAAAGAAATGTTGAAAGAGTCTGTTATGGATAAGTTTTCTAATGGATTGATGTAGATTTGCCGTCGAAAACTTAGAACATGGTTATATTCCCATTTTCTTGAGTTCATCTTCTATAACTTCGTTTGAAATGGTTGGACAAACATTCGAGATGACTAATCTTAATGCTGGAGTTATTAATCTGCGGACTTCTACTTGCACGTTGCTGATTTTAACGTGATTGTGTGAATCAATGAGTTGGTCTACTATTCTTTTAGAAGATAAATGCATTCATTTTTGGTTAATAATTTTTGTCTTTAAATTTATTTATCATAGTCAATTTTTTACCTGTGCCAATCCGGGTCTGTATTATCAGCAGACTTTTAACCCTAGAACAACAACGTGAAAGTTGGGTTACGATACTAACAACGTGGCGTCGTATATGACTCCAAAAGAACTGGCCGTAAAGCATAAAAAAGTACATTATTTTTTAAATAAAGTGTTTTTATTTTTGGTTATAACCATAAATATTCATAAATTGTATACAAAAATATTTTTGCATAAATAACAAATGAGAAACTTAAAATAAAACTGTGGTACTGCATAAAAGTATAAAAAAATATTGACGATAGTTTTTTGACAAAATGCAACAACTGAACAAATTTTTTTATATGTAATGACACATAATAAACCAAAGGATACACTTTTATAAACAAAAAGTAATTTACTTGCAGTCACTACAAATGCACAGGCGGTGTTCGGCGCACACCATTTTCGGGCAGTGCTCACATTTATCGCGCGCTTTTCGGTTTTTGCTTCTTGGGCAAAAGTCACAGCGACCCATTGAACCTTGGGCTTTTGTTCTATTATTTCTTCATCTTTACAATTTAAAATGTCTTTGATACTGCTGCGGATTTGTCTTGGCAAGTGATTATTATACATTCGTTCTTTTAAACAATCTTTAACCAAAATGAACGACAGCTCCTTTAGAAAGTTTGATCGAGACAGTGGTTTATTAACATTTAGTTTATGTATGACGTAACTGTTGACTCCTGCAATATCCAACATGCCATAGAAAATTCGCAATGGCCATCTGCAAGTTTTTCTGGCGACTGTTGTTAAATGGCAGAGTTGATCAAACGTATCTACACCACCTTTTGTACTATTGTAGAACAAGATTATCTCTGGCTTTTTCGATTCTTCATCTACATCATCTTGAGTATGCATAGACGATAAAAGAATGACGTTTTTATTTTTTTTTTGGAACGAATGACACTAAAGTGTTTTTCTCATCAAAAGCAAATAGAGATGATGAAACTTGTTTTCCTTTTGTTTCAATTAGTTGTCGTGGTATTTCTGGCTTGTTTTTTCTAAGCGTTCCCACTACAGTAAGGCCTTTTTCTCTTAACACTTCCGATACTTGATACGAAGTGAACCAGTTATCCATGGTGCAATTCCTATTGGTTCCATATATATCACTTGTAAGATGCAGTACATATTGTGTTGGAATTGAATATTGTGAACAACGGAC